CACACACACACACACACACACACACACACACACACACACACACACACACACACACACACACACACACACACACACAGCCAGCCGTCAGATTGCACTGCACAATCACACATTTAAATTATATACAAATAGCTTGCATTAATGTACAGTTATTTTAGAAGTAATGTGTAAAAATACTAATCTTTTACATTTTCTTATTTATTAGCAAAATGTAACCTTCCCAAAACTATTTTGTTTTGATATCTCTAAACATGTGAGCTTATTAGAAACACATTTTCTTATTTTCCCCATGAACCTCCCAGTTGGACATCATATGATGTCTAATGTGAAACATCGCGATGGACGATGGCATCGTCGTCATGTGAAAGCGGGGAAGCGCAACGTGTCTGAAGAATGAGGAGGGATCCGGTGGTGAGGGGTGAGAAGGGTGCGCGACTTATTTGAGGACCGGGAGGGAGATGCGCTATTTCAGGGAGATTATCACTCGTTTGCGGGCATCCGGCAGTCTCTACGCATTTGCAGGAGACTCCTAGAACTTCCAGGAGACTTTGGATGTCTGAATATCACGTTTAACAACTATAGCGAGAAGCGATAAACTGTCCAACATGCACTGCTCACTGGAGCTCAGATGAGCGCATGATAGTGTGTGTGTGGTCACGTGATGTGCGGTTTCAGCGGACGGAGGGCTGTTCAGAAATGCTAGGTAAAACACGGTGTGATTGTGGATCATTTTCCATTATAACACTAAGACGTATTAGTGTAAACAGGGCCTAAGTGTGTATTTTTCGCGAGCGGGTTTGCGAAGGGGGCGGGGCGGAGGATCGGCGATGCCGGCTCAGCATCGTGTTGTCTATAGGCCATCGGCGATGGATAAGGGCATCGTCTATCGGCCCAATCCTACTCCCAAACAAGAAATTGATCAGGTTTTAGTTACAAAAAAAAAAGCAAAGGTACAGTCTAGAGTTGGGTTGATGGCCGATAGACATCACGATGCTGAGCCGGCATCATGATCCTCCACCCCACACATTTGAAGCAGCAACCCGCTCATGAAAAATACAAAAACTTATGCCGAATTCACATAACATAAAAATACATGTTGCACAATGTATAAAACATTTTAAAAAAATCTACAACAAGACAGAAAATGTTACTTTACAAACTGTATTGTAAACAAATCATATAAACATTAATATTAGTCAATAATCTTACTGAAATTTATTTAAAAAACTGAAATATCAGTTTACACACATTTACACAGGTAAATAAAAAGACAAAACGATGGGCTAAAAATCTGCGTGCGCAGATTCTGTGTGGGCTTAGTTACAGGGTAAAACAAAGTCCGTGCGGGTCAGGTAGTTGAAACGGTAGGTTACAATTAATTAATGAATTAATTTTCTTTTCGGCTTAGTCCCTTTATTAATCTTGGGTCGCCACAGCAGAATGAACCAACAACTTATCCAGCATATGTTTTACCCAGTTGATGCCCTACCAGCTGCAACCCATCTCTGAAAAACATCCATACACACTCATTCACACACATACAATACGGACAATTTAGCTTATTCAATTCAGCTATAGGACGTGTTTGGACTTGTGAGGGAAATCGGAGCACCCGGAGGAAACCCACGCCAACATGGGGAGAAGATGCAAACTCCACACAGAATGCCAACTGACCCATCCGAGGCTCGAACCAGTGGCCTTCTTACAGGTAGGCGATCGTGCTACCCACTGCGCCACCGTGCTGGCCAACAAAACCTTTTACTTAATAATAAATAAACAGTTACAAGAGTAGAGTTACAAAGCACCGTCTAGTGATTTTGTCCTTTATAGTTTGGCTTAATAAGCACATTGTATGCTGGTACACAATAGCGAACTCTTGCGTGTGTATAACAGAGATGCAACCCAGTTTACAGCACGAATCTGCTTTATAAATCATTGTCCAAATCGGCGCGCCGTTTTCCCTGGAGCTGAACATCTCGACACCTGTGTGACCCCAATAGAGTCACATTATAAAGCTCTTCAGGGTCATGAATAAAACATGCAGATTTGAATGTGCTCGTCTGAAATAACACTCCACTCTGCCCTTGATCTTGTGCTTAAACCCTCTTTAACCAATGTTTAATTGATGAATAACTCCAGGAGGACACGTTCGCAACATCACAGCCTGAAAATGAGATCTGATTTAACACAATCAGACTGGTTTAGGCACAAACTGAGGCCCCGTTTACACTAATGCGTTTTAGTTTTAAAACGTATAAGTTTTGCTACGGGTACGGCATCCGTCCACACTACGCCGGAGTTTTCGAGCGCTGAAAATAGAGCGTTTTGAAAACACAGGAGAGGCCGTTTTCATTCTAAAATGCTGCTGCTCAGTCTCAGTGTGGAGGAGCAAAAACGGAGACATCTGAAAACGGAGGCGGGGCTGCTGACATTCGCCTATCTGATTGGGGCTTTTCCTCAATATTAAGTAGCCTAACACACACAGTTTAGCCCTGCATCCTCTCCTTGTAAGTTTAGATTTTGCAAGTTTGATCAAGGCTGCAGTCTCCCCCTTCTCAGTTTGATATGGATAACAGACTACCGAGGACACGGGTAAATCTTCAAAGGGAACAGTGTACTTTATAACTTCATTCACATTACCCTGGGTATGTTGTTTTACTTTCTCAATAATAAAATGTAAACATGATATAAGGAACTGCCTATTTTTATTTTGATATTAGCAACTTAACAGACAGCAGAAATATTGAGGCGTCGTGCTGGATCTATGAGCGTCATCTTCACTGTGTGCATATTTATAACAAAACGGAGCCGATAACAACTGCCTCCTTTCAATTTCAGTGAAATCACGAAACATGCCCTCTGTTTTGCTGAATATCAGTTTTAATAATAGATAATGGCCATTATAAAAGTATAACATACAATAAGTTTATACATTATAGGAAATAAAGGCAAGCGATCAGTCAATATACAGAATAGGCTACGTGGTTAAATTAATCATTAACTTATCTTTGCGCTTAGCCAAAACACGTTACCTGAGAACAAGTAATAGATTCCAATGACCAAAGTCAGGGAATACGTCGTTAGATAAAGACAATAAGATGGATGAAATGTCACATTTAATAAATATAGTGAGATTAGATCCAGCGGGAGATGCTTGATGAGAAGTCCGAATAGCACAACTCTCATCTGGGTCAATGGACTGCAGCGCTTGTCTGAGAGTGTGTGTGTGTGCACTAGTAAATAAAACGCACTAGTGTAAACGAGGCCTGAGACCCAAGTTCAGGTTGCCGGCTCAATACGATGGTTTTAAATGGTTTCAACACATTTTAATCTGTTTTTTGTGTTTTTATTCTTTGTTGTTTTTATTTTCTTGTTTCTTTTATTCTTTTTTTATGTAAAGCAATTTGAATTACCAATGTGTATGAAATGGGCTATATAAATAAACTTGGCTTGCCTCGAATAACTGATTGAAGGCCAATCAATTTAGACTTCAACTGTATGTGCATTGACATGTTCAGCGGGTCGTACCTGGGCACCCAGATGGTGCTGTTGACAGGAATGATATTGAGGGCCTTGAGATGCAGCGGTGTATAGCTGTGATCCTCCAGCTCTGGATCCGTCCCACTCCTGGACAACAGAACATCAGGAGAAAGCTTCCCGTCCTCCACCTCCTCAAAATCTGCAGATAAAGGCAAACTGCTGGAGCTGGTCAGAGAGCTCAGTCCTGCAGAGTTCGAGCGCTCCATATTAGCATTCGCCGATCCGGCCTGCTCCAGATCCCCGATCTGATCCAACATCTCTGAACTGAATCCCGAAGACACGGAGCAATAATCCAAAGAGTCCTGCTGGCATAAAATCTGCGTTCCTGCGTCCTCGCTGTGCGTCACTGTAACCCTCACTGAATCCAAACTCTGTTTTCGAGAATTTGCAATTTCAGATTCATCAGGCGACACAATCCCACTCGGCCTCTGCACTGGGAAAACGTCACGTAGCGGGTTAGCATCACTACAATTGTAGCTAGCGCACACTTGATAGCTAGCAGCGTGATACATTAGCAGGGTGTTAGTGTGATTATCTAAACACCACACGGCCTCTTCGTTCCAGCAGCTGAGAGATGAAGCCATTGACACCAGGCAGGCTGGCGGGAGGTACGGGTCCAGCCGGTGAACGGGTTGAAGCGTGAAACTGTCGATGATGATTACTCCCGGCCCGTTGGAGTACCAGATTTCGGATCCGCTACGCACCGCGACGATGCAGCGGACTGCGTAAGGCCGCTGCCGAGGGTCTGAATCCGTCATGTTCAGCAGGTGTTTGTTGATGGAGTGCGAGCAGACGTACCTCTCGTTCTCCTCCGGCATGTCGTCCACTAAAGAGTAAACGGCCATCAGACCGTCAGACATGCCTGCAAACACCTGCGGGAGAGACTGAACAGAAGATACGGGGTTAATGTAGTTTATACTACTAGACGCTATAACACATTCAGTTACTGTTTTAAAGATTCTAATACTGACAGCAATACAATATTATTGATATTCACTTCATTTCAGTCATTTAGGGCAGGGCTATCAGTCCTTTAAGGTGGAAATATCAGTCATTTAGGGCGGAGCTATCAGTCATTTACAGTGGACCTTTCAGTCTAATAGTTTGGTGCTGTCAGTCTTTTAGGGTGGGGCTATCCGTCCATTAGGGAGGGGCTATCAGTCCTTTAGGGTGGAGCTATCAGTCCTTTAGGGTGGGGCTATCAGTCCTTTAGGGTGGAGCTATCAGTCCTTTAGGGCAGGGCTATTAGTCTTTTGGGGTGGAGTTATTAGTCATTTAGGGAGGGGCTATCAGTCCTTAAGGGTGGAGCTATCAGTCCTTTAGGGCAGGGCTATCAGTCCTTTAGGGTGGAGCTATGAGTCATTTAGGGAGGGGCTATCAGTCCTTAATTGTGGAGCTATCAGTCCTTTAGGGCAGGGCTATCAGTCCTTTAGGGTGGAGTTATGAGTCATTTAGGGAGGGGCTATCAGTCCTTAAGGGTGGAGCTATCAGTCCTTTACAGTGGAGCTTTCAGTCTAATAGTTTGGTGCTGTCAGTCCTTTAGGGTGGGCCTATCAGTCCTTTAGGACAGGGATATCAGTCATTTAGGGTGAGGCTATCAGTCATTTAGGGTGGAGCTGAAAGTCCTTTAGGGCGGAGCTATCAGTTCTTTAAGGTGGAGCTATCAGTCCTTTAGAGCAGGGCTATCAGTACTTTAGGGTGGGGCAATCAGTCAATTAGGGTGGGGCAAACAGTCTTTTAGGGTGGGGCTGTCAGTGCATGTCTCGTTTCTGCCCTGCTTTCGTCCTTTAGTAAATCCTAATTTATTTTGGTAGTGACACCCATCTTCCAATTATCCAGTTATTTGCAAATGGACAAAATCATGCACCATTCTACTTTTTTCCTCATTTCAGGACCATTTCAATTTGTTTCGATATTGGAAAAATGGACAGTCTTAACTTCCGTTAACTGCTTAAGTTAAAAGTGTCAATCTTTAGCTCGGACTATAAACATGAAGTGAAAATGTTTTAACTTTGGTTTCATTTTTTTATACAGGGCATCTAAACCAAGCCAGCAAGAACATGATGAACAGAAGTGTAGATTGCATGAGAATATCTGACCTCTTTCCCGGCGGGCAGCAGAAACAGACAGGTGACAACAGCCGGGCAGGAGAGCAGTTTCTGTGGCTGATTGAGAGGACACATCTCTTTCAGACTGTAGATCAACACCTCCTGTTCCTGCACAAACACCAACATAACCATCAGCATTCATCTGCTGACATAGACAGCAGCAAATATCATTAACTACCATTATAAAAATGAAGCCCCTTTGCACACTGTAGTGCTGGTAAAAGTGGCATATGCACAGAGACTTTTCATTTTGAGAAAACTGAAAAAAGCAGATGCATCTGGTGAACTATCATGCCATTATAAACTCACCACATTTAATATTTGATTTGTTTAAAATCTGTGATCTTCACTGCCTGACTGAGATATGATATGAAGTTGGTCTCACACCAGACAAGAACACTGCATCAAATTACATTTTCCATGCTGCACGACTGCTGCACCTTCAGCAAACCTCCTAATTCCAGCAGCACGAGGACTTTATGGTTGTTTATGAGCCTCAAAAGTGGCGGATCTGTTTGGTAAAATATTTGAATGTGTGTCACCGCATCCCAAACCACTAAAACCATATAACTAAAGTGCCTTTACTGAATGAGCACTGTGCTGCGTCCGACAGATCGCACTATTGTTTTTTTTTCTTCTTTTTCATTATTTTATAACATTAACACATTTTTATCTGTTTTATCTATTTTTTATTCTTATTTTTATAATTTTTATTTTATTATTTCTTTTCATTTTCTTACACTTGTCTCTTTAATTCTTGTTTATGTAAAGCACTTTGAATTGCCAATGTGTATGAAATGTGCTATATAAATAAACTTGCCTTGCCTAAAGAAATCTCCACTGTGCTGAGCAAGAGCGCTTCTTGCTGACCAGCGCATCATCTGGCGTAAGAGTGCCCACGCCCGAATGTAATGTGAGTGTGGGCCGCCGGGTGAGATGGGAGGGGGGGACAAGCGTGCTTTGGCCCGGTTCAAGGCAACTGTGCATAGTGTGAGTACACCCTTATTTTCTCTTTCTAAAAGCTACCTCTAGTCTGACCGGTCTTCCGCTGAAAATTGTGATGTTTGTGTTTAGTCAGAGGGATCCGATTTCGCTACATGTAAAAGTGCATGTAGCTATGTTTCCATCCAAAAATGCGAATAAACTTTATGCGCAAAACTGGATTATCGCATAAAAGTTGTGCGAATGAAGCAGCGTTTCCATCCAACGAGTCAAAGCGAACAAAATCATCACTTTCTGATTAACTGGCGCCAAATATCAACAGCAAAAACTGCATTTTCTGCAGTAGGAGAAGCTGCATCAATCTTTTCTTAATGAATGCGCCTCAGAAAACAATCCTGACAAGCAGTGAGCGCACAGTGGCGTTTGAAGGTGTCAGACGCGGAGCACAGGCGCTCTTGATTTTGGAGGTCATTAATAATATAATAACACTAATACTGAAATGGTAAGGCGTTTTATAATGACCAAAACAACATTTCAGATGTTTTATAATGTGCTCAGCCTGACGTTTTGTCCATTCACACACATTTTAAGCATCACATGATCTCTTTCAACAAAATCACATGACCTTTTTTAATGCGCATGCTGGAGTTTGCGCGGTAAAAGTGTTCATCGCAGTTTATGCACATCTTACGTTGTTTTTTTTTTACGCACATACGTTTTTTATGCGCATTTTCAAAATTTATGTGCATCATGGCGTTTCCATCAACTGTTTTTTTATGCGCATTTGCAAAATGCGCATAAAATAGGTGGATGGAAACATAGCTATTGACAAATAAAGGCTTCATCATCATCATCGTCATCATATTTTTGTGAAAAATGTGATGGAAAAAAAGCATTTACATGTCTTTACTGTCACTTTTGACCTATTTAATGCACGCAAACTAAACTATAGTATTTTTTTAAATACACAAATAAATGACTTGCTACATGTCAAACACATCTCTTTAAAATGCTTTCTGAGTAAAATCTGAAAAAAAAAAGATCCCGCACACCATCAATACTTGCTGAACGATTAAATGAATTGTTTTATCTTGAATGCATCCCAGACCACCCCTTGAAGTGGTTTGAGAAATTGGATTTACAGCAAGGAAAATGAGTATTGAACATGTCATGTTTTTTCCTGGGAATAATATTTCTAAAGGAGCTGTTGACATGGAATCGAACCGGATTTTGGTAAAAACACAGACAATACAAACATAAAAATAAAACAAAACAAAAACATCTGAGAAATGAGTTCTGTGTAATAACAATGGAATGACACAACACAAGGAGAAAGCGCTGAACTACTGAAACTTTTTTAATACTTTATATAAAATGTTTTTTGGTGACGGCAGCTTAAAGACGCCTCTAATATGGAGAATGAAGTCACATGCATTGCTCAGGTGTGATTTTTTTACAGACTTCAACAGTGTGTCAAAATCTTGATGGTTCTGTGGGTCTCGTTTATCAAATATGAGCTTTAATTAATATTTTCTGGAGTGGCTGGGCCATTCTACAGCTTGAGTTTCTTTCTCTTAACGAATCTGAGAGTCTTCTCAGCTGTGTTTTGGATCATTGTCTTGCTTTAATGTCCACTCTGGTTTCATCTTCATCCTCCTGCTACTGTAGATGTTGGACTGAAGCCGCTGATATTCATTTACACCGAGGAAGGGCAGAAAGTTGCTGAAGAACTACTGAGAGATTTCAGCTGCTGTCTGGGTCTTCATTGCCTTTCTACATCTTCCTTTCTTCATGTGTTCAATACTTTTTCCCTCCGTCATTTCATTTTATTATGCATAACTTAATTTGCGAACTAATTAGATTTGTTTTCTTTGCATATAAGGATTTCTTTGGTGTGTTACCACCATCCAGGGATAATTTCAAGTCAACGACACCTTTAAAAATATGTTTCTAAAAAAATGGTGAAGTGTTCAATACTTATTTTCCCTGATGTATATTAATCTCACATGCATTTCGGATGGCATTAACACCCGTCCTTTTCACATTCAAATAGCTATCAGTTCAGAGAAAAAGGATGAAGTGACCAGCCCCAAAGTGAACACACACCCGCTCTACAGTGAGTCTACAGTGGTCTGTTTACTAATGATTTTAGGAAAAGTGTGTGTTGTTTCAGAAACTTACCTCAGTGGCCGTCCAGAGTGTGTTCTCCATCTTCATTTGACAGCTCAGACGGGTTCCTGGACACGGCATCCGCTTCACCTCCACCTGCCCCTTGGCCAAGTTCACCACCGAGTAGTTCCTGGAAAAAAACACACCACACATAAAGAGAAAAATAAGAATGTCTTTGGGTGCAGCAGTTCTGTTAACCCCATTCAAACAAGTGATGCTTTTGTGGTGGAAAATAATAATAATAATGATAATGATAATAATAATAATGATAATGATAATAATAATAATAATAATAATAATAATAATAATAATAATAATAATAATAATAATAATAATTTTTGTGTAAACTAAAACCATTAGAAAACCGCAATTTGCTCTTTCAGTGTTTGGGCTTTCAGCAGTGACATTTATATTTCACTGAAAAGACCTTCAACTGTAAAAACTGGACTAAAGCTATTTTAATTTATTTATACTACCTGACCAAACGTTGCCTTAGAATTATAAAGTTCTATCTGTGTTCTGAATAATTTTGAGATATTGAGCTTCAAAGTTTTGGCATTCCATATAGCATACAATGAAGTCAGAATTATTAGTCCCCCTGTTCATTTTTTTCCCAATTTCTGTTTAACGAAGAGCAGATTTTTTCAACACATTTATTTTTAAACATAATAGTTTTAGTAAGTTATTTCTAATAACTGATTTATTTTATCTTTGCCATGATGACAAAAAAAGAATATTTGACTAGATATTTTTCAAGACACTTCTATACAGCTTAAAGTGACATTTAAAGGCTTAACTAGATTAATTAGCTTAACTAGGCATGTTAGGGTAATTAGGCAAGTTATTGTACAATGATGGTTTTTTCTGTTGACTATCAAAAAAAAAAAAATAGCTTAAAGGGGCTAATAATATTGACCTTAAAATGGTGTTTAAAAAATTAAAAACTCCTTTCATTCAAGCCGAAATAAAACAAATAAAAATTTATCCAGAAGAAAAAATATTATCAGACATACTGTGAAAATATCCCTGCTCTGTTAAACATAATTTGGGAAATATGGAAAAAAAAAAAGTAAAAAAATAAATAAAATAAAAAATGGGGGCTAATAATTCTGACTTTAACTGTATGCGTGTAACAGTTCTCTTTATTACATTAGCATGACAGAGACCCTAAATGTACTCTAAATGTAAATTATGTAAATTTTCTTACATTTACAAACTGGAGTAAAACAAACAGGGCAAATGCA